GTGCTCTGTAAAAAGGATCCTTTTTTCGACTATTGTTTTGATTGAGGTTTCCTATACATACGCGAAGTCACGCATCAAGAGTTGTATGGATTGCGATCGGATTTTATGTTTTGATTCGTTGCAATAGGCAAATAATGACTCAGAATCTTACTACAAGCTATTGYTCAACTGAACTACTGTGAGATCTATACCCATCAAATTATTAAAACCTGCCCATCACATAGATCTTTGACGCACTCTGAGTTTTCCAAAAATCGATTTCATAACGAGATTAATAAATAACGATGTGCTGAACCACGATGCTTTGCTATCCAGTTGAGTGACTTTTCTTGTTATGCAGCGACTTTACATACTTGTAATTATGTACATAATCAACTTTCATCGTGGAGCTATTTTTAGATGTCATACAGTTATGCTGGTCAGACCAGCTTATTTCCTGTACCATTAAGTCATGTCTATTTTTAGAATCACCTACTGCACCACGGCGAAATACATCATATCTATTTTTAGATTTCATATACTATAAAACTAGATGATTTCAGTCCTGATCTCACAGACCAATTTCGAACCAAGTTAGATCAGTGCAAACGAGATGGAAAACCAAAGTATATATGTCGATATGGATCAAGAGGTCGTTGAAGAACAGGTAAGATTATTATCACATAACATTTTTCAGTACTAAGCATTACCTTATTAATCATTGTGTCTATGATTTAATTTCAGATCACTGAATTTCAATGTCCACATTGTGAGAAACGATTCAAGCATAAAAGAGGGCTAGTGCGCCATCAAAACAGCATGCACCTAAATGAGAGACGACTGTGAATACTGTGGCAGAACTTTTAGTGAAAAATACGACCTCAAGAGGCACGAGAAAGTCTGTCCTGGCGGATCATCCAAAAGAAAATCCGACGATGAAAACGATTCATCAGCAAAAAAGCAGAAACTCATGAATATGAGGTATATTGAATATTCAGTACTTGCACATGAATTCGACCTCCAGAAATTAATCCTCGATATTTTATTGATTTACAGTTAGCGAACATTCCCCCCGAAATGTATGAAGAATATGACGGGCCGATCCTGGGAGATGATGATGAGGTTGTTTTTCAAAAAATCCTGAATGTTATGGCATTTTTAATTCTATTAAACTAATCTTATCTTAATTGCTTTTACAGAATGATGAACAGCACGGTGGAGGACCTGTCGATCAGGAGTGTGCTTTGAACAATAGCGCCACCAAATTCAAGTATAACCCCAATAAGAGAGAAAAATACGACCTGTTATTAACCTTGGGAGGCAAAAAGAAAACGATTATGAAACAACTTCAAAAACAATTAAAGAAACACCGTGGAATCAAATGGTTCCTGAGCGTTCAAGTAAAAATGATGAAGTCCAGTCCTGATGGC